ATGGTGGTCGAGTAGATCATGTTGTGCGGGGTGGAGAACCCTCGCTCCGCGCAAGGGGGATGATCGCACCAAGTTGTTAAATTGGTCAAGCACCCTCAAGGCAGTGACCCAGTGCTTACAACTGTCTCAGGAAGTGAAACTACCAGAAAATAAATTAAGTCATACGCAGCTGTCATCCGTACGCAAGGAAGTAAGCACAAGATGCCGAACACGCTTAGCAGGATGCAGCGCATTCCGCGAGCAGTGGACGTTTGTGGTTGCGTTTCGTGATGTTGATTTTGTTCCGTTGCTCTCCGACCTGCCGCCAGGACGAAGCGCGGAGGCTCGCGGAGCGTAAAGCGATTGCAGCTGCTGAGGAGGAGCGCCGCAGGATGGGGAAAAGCAAAGACGGGGGTGGAAGGACAGGGGGTGAGGAGAAGAACTATGGAGGGTCGAGCCGCAAGGGGGGCAGCGGTGGTGGCGAGGGAGGAGACAAGGACGATGACAACGCTGGGGGGTCGGGCCGCGAGGGAGGAATGGGTGGTGGCAAGGGCGGCGAGGAGGATGACGATAACGATCCGGATGATGGCGGGGGACAACCGTCAGGAGGAGGTGGTCAAAAGGGGGGCGGGGATCCGCAAGGAATGGGGGGCGGTAAGGCGGAAGATGGTGACAGGGATGGCCCCGCAGCTGGCGAGAACGAGAAGAAGGTTCGGGCGTTTCTTCGGAGGGTGAAAATTCGTCGAGACATGGCCGTCCGCCGCGAGGCTAAGGTGGGCGTCAAGCATGTGGACGCTGAAGGGAGAGGAGCAAGCAATGGGTTTTTTTTCTACAAGTATGTCATTCGCTCACGCATTGTCTAAGGGCTGACGATAATGGTACTAGCGGAAAGAAATGATATCCGTAACGTCGAACCCACCCGCCCGCCTAGCGCCAGCCATCTCGTACCATGCTTGTGACATGGCGTATCGGGTATCGTATTAATGTATCGTAAGTTGCTTTGACCCTCCCCCCCCCAAGCACCTGTTCGGCCTGCAAGCACGAGCTGTTTGATTTCCCCCGGGGAGATCGGTTATCCCAACAAAAAGAAAA